CAACAAACAGCGCCGGGTGGCTCTCAACAAACACCACGGGCTGGCTCTCAACAACCACCGCCGGCTGGCTCTCAACAACCACCTCCTGCTCGTCGAAAACAACCTCTTGGGCGTCAACAACAGCCTTCTTCTTCTCGTCAACAACAGCCTTCATCTTCTCGTCAACAGCAGCCGCCTCCTCGTCAACATCAGCCTTCTTCTTCTCGTCAACAGCAGCCTCCTCCGCGTCTACCACAGCCTCCTCCTCGTCAGGATCCAGAGGAGCAACAGGTCATACCACCAGAGCTAAACCTTAATGATGAAGACGATTATGAGGAAGAAGTAGACGAAGAGCCTGAAGAACAAAATGGAGATCAAAATGTCGACTACCAAGAAATGTTGGATCGTTTGCTAGTCCTTCCAGGCCGACAACATCTTCCACTTCTGTCTCAGAACCCGATCCCTGGAGTTGAGACTCTCTGGTAATCTCTTTCCTTTTCTCCTTGTGATTTTGTGATTGTTTTGTGAGCATATGTGTTTTTGATTGATCATCTGATTTTGTGATTGTTTGTGAGCATCTGTGTTTTTTTAAAAGCATTTGCAAATCATGTAGTCATGTCCTGTAGTAGAAAGTTTAGTGTTTGTTAAACATTTTGGTTTGTTTTCCGTGTTTGTTTTGAGAATCTATGTTATCTCTGTGTTGGACCAACTTATTGTTCATTGATAGACTCATGGTTCTTGTTCATTTACGACTAAAGCTTTGTTTGGTAATTCAACTTGAAGTTTAGAGACTTGTCATAGTTGATTCTGCTGTTAATCAAACATATTTCATTCTTGCTCAGTATCTGTTGGTTATTGCATCAAATAAATTCTGTGATTTCAAGAAATGAATAGAATTAGGAGTTATTTTTCACAGTGTCTTAGTGCATAACTAAAGTGAAATGTACTTTCGTTACAGGTTTAACCGGCACAAAGGGAAGCTGTCTAGAGTGATTGCTGGAATCTTCCGGAGGAAGTTTGATGGGCCTTACTTCAGTTGGAAGGTTACTCCAATACCCATTCGAGAGAGATACTTCAGAAGTTTTGCGGTAATGTCATATATACCTTACATTCTGTTATTGTTTAATATATATGACTTAGTAACTTTGCTAACTTAAGTGCTTGTTATGTAGCGGAAGTATAATTGGGACGGGATTACTGAGCTTGTTAGAGAAGGATTCTTGGTGATAGCCAAGAAAAGGATGAAAGGGATTGTCAGTCAAGCAAAGCAGAGTGGTGTACAACCACCGTGGATCCGTGATACACTTTGGGCTGAGATGTGGGTGTATTGGAAGACTGAGGATGCTATTGAGAGGAGTGAGAATGCTTCACAGTGCAGAAACTCTGATCGTGGAGGTCTTGGAGTGCACAAACACTTAGCCGGTCAGAAATCTTTTGTGCAAGTTCATCAAGAAATGGTAAGAGTCCTCTTTCCATCCAAACAAATCATTTCTCTGATTTTCTAATATTGCTTCCATGATTTAAATCTGCTTGAGTTTAATTGTAGGAGGAAGAGCTCAAGCGTCCTGTATCACTTGGCGAAGTGTTTATGAAAACACATACAAGGGCTGATGGATCATTTGTGGATCAAAAAGCTAAAGAAGTTGCTGAGGCGTATGCGAAGGGCATTGAAGACAGGATGTCTGAATTGGACGAGGAGGGTCCTCAGAATTCTGCTAATTCCTCTGAACATTCCACTGACCGTATGCTCAGCATTGATGAAAAGAATGAGATCTTTCTTAAGGTAATTGATTTCGTTTTGTTGGACATCCTTCTTGTTCTTGTTCACTGATTCTTTGGATTTTGTTTTAGTGTACTCATAAAGATGACAAAGGTACCCCTTATGGTCTTGGATCGATTGTGGAGACACTGAACAAAGGAAAAAGGAAAGAGAGTTATGCGAGCTCTTCTACAGCAACCATTGTGGAGCTTCAAGATCAGCTGCGGCGCAAGATATCTGAACACGAGGCTGAAAATGCAAAACGTGATGAGGAGCACCGCCAATCTCAATCTCGCTTGGAGAAGCTCCTCGTCTTCATGAAAGATAAGGATCCTGAGTTGGCAGCTTTTTTGTCTTCTGCTTCTACACAACCTCAACCACCCATCCAAGCAACTACAACAGCTGCAGGCACTCTACCAACTACAAAAGCTGCAGCTGCAGCCATCCCAGACGCAGCAGGCACCCCAGAAGACACTTCTTCTAACCTATGAACTTGTTCTCTTAATTGTGTATTTTGTAAGTTGGATGAAACCTGTTTTATTAGGATGCTAATATTTTGGTTAAAACTAGGATTATCTTGTTTAATTAGGATGGTTATTTGATTACTCAGTTGTTAATCTGATTTCTGTTTGATTACTGCTTTTCAATTCGAAATTGAATTAGGTTTATGATTGCAAAACAAATTGTTACTCGACAAACCACAAAGTTATGACCATTTTGTGACTAAACCAAATTACACTGGTGGCAGAATGGTTGCTAATACGAGACTAAATTGGGACTACTATTTTTTTTTTCACCTTACAAATCTTAGTCACAAATCTGTCTCTAATCAAACTTAGTTGCATTTTAGTCGGGAATATGCAACAACATATACAAGTCACAAATTAGTCGCTTATTTACGACTATATAGTGCGGTAAGAAAGTAGTCGCAAATAAGTGACTATGTTGCGACTGTTTTATTTAGCGACCGTTTTTTAGCGACCCATTTAATTAGTCGGACAATAGTCGCAAACAAGTGATTTGCGACTGTTTTCCGACTATTATGGGAGTCGCAAACGGCTTGTTTTCTTGTAGTGTGTGGATTTGAGAAGTTTAGGTTTTGTTACTAAAAAGACTGAACTGTTTATGTTTTCTCGAAAACATAGGGAAAAGAAGCCGCTTAAGTGAATTATTTTGGTAAGTGTTGGCGGACTAAGTCATTTTTGTTTCCCGCTAAAGGATTTGGGGTCTTACCGTTTATCAAGTGCTATTATAAAATAACCAGAATCACGAACTCATCTTTTATAGCAGTTTAGGAAAATGTGCTATCTTCTACGGCTATCAATGTTGATTATTCTTGTAGTGATACTCCGGAAGCTGATTAGAAGAGTTTGCGCTGCATGTATCTGCTAGTAAGATGTTAGACTCTTCAAGTCCAATTTGACTTTGGAGATGGAGGTGAGTTACGTCACCAGAAGATATTGACAAGAATAAGATGCAAAAACTCAACATCACGATCGTGTTAGAGTATGAGGCCATGAATGGGTTTAGGGTTTCGTTATGACAGTTTTGTAACTGATTTTGATCGTAAAAAAGAAGAAACACCCATCCTTTTATAACAGAAACAAACCCTTTCCTAAACAGGATTATAAAAACGTAACCCTAAAATTCTTTATTTTGTTCAAGCTTTATCTTAATTTTGTTCTCTGCATATCATCAGGTTAGAGCATTATTTTATCACCAGCTACTACCTCATCACTTGGTAGCATATTCAACCGACTACAACTTATAATAAAGTATGCTTTCATTGAAATTTATCATTGTATGATATATTTGTAACATAATGAATTGACATATAAGTGTACGAAAAATGATTATTTTTAGTTGCATACTCTTATTCTAAGACAATTATTAGATTTTGAATACTCAGTTATAAAGTCTATAGATAAATTTTGGCAGATTGAAAACCAATGTCAGTTGACAAGAATACTCAGTTTAAATTAATGTTTTACAATGAATAAAAAACTTATATGATGCACATTATTGTATATATTCAAAATTGTGAAAACAAATAATGTAAATACGAAAGTTAATAATTGAAATAGATACTGGTCATCATGGGATGATAATGTATAAATGATTTGAGGCAAAACATCAACAACTTCAACAGTTGTGGGAATGGGAAGAAGAATGTAGTGACCATCATCATCGTAATAATCAAATCTAGAAGATTGGCCCGATGATTATCTAGATGAAAAAGAGTATTTGGCCAATGATAAAGATCCTAATGAATAATAGGATTTTTGACTGACGATATTTTTTTGTTTTTTCTCGTTATGTTTATCCCAATTGAGAAAACTTCTCAAAGATAAAAGTACTACAAGAAATATGTTCATCGTTAGCGCGAAAAATATGCTATCATACATATAACATAGCGAATTCATAAATGCTATGACATCGGCAGCTATAGTAGGTGTCACCCATACGATAGCATTTTCTGACATGCTATTTTAGAACGTTCAATTATAGCGATAATAGAGTGCTCTAATATACTATATTATAGCACACGGTTAACGTTATTTTATATTGTATTGTAACATTTTTATATTTAATATATAAATTTAATTTGATTTATATATAATTATTATAATTGAATCTTGTTTTGCAAAATAATTTCAATTGGATTTATAATATAATATTTATATTTCATAAATCATCAACATACATAACAGTAATATTACATTATCATTTTTTACATAACATCATACCAAATCTTAAACAAAATAAAACTAACATCATAAAGACAAACTTCAATCTAGTCTCCTCTATGTGTTTTGCCTTTCTGTTAGCATTCCCGTGCATAATCCATGTAAGCATTATAAAGACAAACTTCAATCTCCTTTCCTCCAAAACAACACAAAACCCTTTACTTGTCCTGTTTCCAATCCTTTAAAATTCTCAAATCTAAGTCTATATCATAAGAGCAAGTGAGCAAATTGTTAGTTCTTAATACATTGACATTGAAGTGAATGGAAGCAATGAAACTAATAGAGAAGAGTAGTGTTTCATCAAACCTCATGTGTATACATTTTCATTGGGAGAGGGTCGGCACTGGCTAATCTAATATTAGTGACCTACAAGATGAAAAAACAATTGTTACTAACAACACTAAGAATCAGACATAATTACGTCAAAATGGAGATCCAATCACTTAGGGAGTAAAAGAAATACAAATGGCAAAACCGTGGAATCTAGCAAAAGATAAAGGTTCCTGAAACTAAGATATAAAACACAAACAAAAGAATCTAACTACCACCAAAACAAGAGTGTAAATTAGGCCAAGTAATGCAAGATATGAATCGCAATGTCAAACGCTTAAAGAAAACAATTGAATCCTATATAAAAAATACAGCCAATAGAAGTGAAAAGATGGAAATAACCATCACATCTAAAGACGGATAGACTCATAACAACAAGAGCAGAGACACCTTGGATGAGAATGGACATGGTCACGGATGTACAAGTGAGCACACATATCTTCGACCAAAACCAAACACATGTCTCCTTCATGGCCATTGTACAAGTGAACAAAACCAAACATCTTCTCTCTGTAATATATTTGAGCACACATATCTTCGACAGATCTACCTAGTATCATGTCTTCATACAACTCCAATCCTTTCTATTTGGTTATCAACTATTTCAAAACAAATCAAGTGACTTCAAAATTTAAAATCTGGCTTCAATTCCTTAATCAATACAATGAATCAAACCATAAGAACAACCAAAGCTCACGTAACTATCTAATCCGGTTCAATTAACAAAGGATCAGAATCCAAATGTTATAAAACTCATCTAAGAGACAAAAAAGAAGCAATTTTTAAGTGATTTAAGATGGGAAAAGAGAAAACTTGATTGAGCAAACATCAGATACATAAAAATTGAGCAAAAGGGTTATGAGAGAATCTAACCAATCTGCTAGAACGAAGAGCTTGGACGTTAACGATTCCTTTTAGAAGTCTACTCGAACAGCTTGGTGGATTTCTTCTTCTTAGACTTCTTGGATAGTGACGACGGGAGATCGACAGTGGCGGTGGAGTGGTTGAATATGCAAGAAGAATTAACGGTGAGAGAACGAGCAGATTTGAGGAAAGGAGGAGGAGCCAATCAGATCGGAAGCAATTGACGATTCTCTTGAGATCCATGTAGAGGAACAGTGGCAGTGAGCATAGTGGGAGTGAAAGCCGTAGCCATTATCGTGTATCAATGAAAACCCAAAGAGATTCACGGATTCGGAGAAAATTTTCTGGGAAACTAGAAGAGAGCATAGATGGGCGGAGAGTACAAGATAGGGAGATGAGAAAAAATGAATGAGAAGAAAAAAAAAAGAAAAATTAGGGTTTGTTTGGTCATAAGTGATTTTTATTATTTTGGTTAGGCGGT